TATTATGTACTTTATATGATCTTTATATTATTCACATATCTTAAAAGGTAGATTTTAAATATCAGAACATTCTCAAAGAAAGATTCCTAAAATCCTGTCTTTGGGGTGAGTGGCATGGTTCCTTGCTTGAATGAGATGACCCGTCAAGGTGCCATTATATCAGTGTCATCAATCAATCAGCACACTTTTGGGAGTCCTTGAAGTACGTGCTTAGTGAAAGTACCAGAAAATCCAAATAACTTTGAGTGACAGTCCTCGCCTTTCAGGATCTAAGAGTTAAGTTGGGGAAATACAACGTATTTGTTTGCAAATTACCTTATAGTTAAAGGCGGTATGGACAAGCTCAGCCTTCTACTACTTTCCCTCTCTCTCATTGAATTCTTCACAAATAGTCATTCATTCAACAAGTATTTATTGAGTGTCTGCCCTTGCACGGTCCATAGAGCTCAAAGGTGAATTGCATGTGAATCCTGCCCGTAGAGAGCTGAGCAGGGGGACATGAGCCCTACAACCTTAACTCTAGCACAGAGGGGAACGCGAATAAAGCCATGATAAAGGGACAGATACAATAAGGTGTCTCCAAGGAGAGATTACTGATTTTTACCTGGAGAAAACAGAGGTGGCGTCACCTTTTTTAGGTCTTGAAGTAATTTGGATTTGGAGATAGAAAGATGGAGGAAAATGTCTTTCCAGAGAGAAGCAACACTGCCTGAGTGGAAAGGTGTAAGGCATGGAGTGGCTACAGCGAGTGTGGCTAGAACAAGGAATATGCGAAGAGGACACACGAGGGAGAGCTTGCAAAAATGTATTTTGGGATATCTGTGACCAAATAGAATATTCACCTTTAGAGTTCATTGTAAGTTTCTTAGGCGCTAGAAAGCCATTTGGAGTTTTCTAGGAGTAAATCAACATGTTCAGAGGTATGTTGCAGGAGCATTAAACCTGGTGACTGTGTGAGGTCTGACTGTCCCATCTATAACTCACTCAAAGTCATTATATCCAGAACTTTTTTTTTTTTCAGTGTATGTATCAGTGAATTTGTCTAAAGTGAAAGGCTGCAGTGGCTGTTCTGGTTTTTCTTGTGTGGATCTGCCTAGCTGTGTGAGATTCTTAAACACTTTTATAGTCTCCAAGTCTAGACCCTGTCCTTTTTCCTAGTGTCCATCTTGAACCTTGGTCACAAAAATTTCCCTGGATATTCAATTGTTCTTTATGTGAAGACTTAAAAAGAGCCAGGTACAGATCCTCACATCTGTAGTCTCAGTACTTTGGGAGGCCTCCGCGAGAGGATCGCTTGAGCCCAGGAGTTCAAGACTGGCCTGGGCAACATAGGGAAACCCCATCTCTACAGAATTATATTTTTAAAAATTAGCTAAGCGTGGTGGCACATGCCTGTAGTTCCAGCTACTTGGGAGGCTGAGGCAGGAGGATCACTTGAGCATGGGAGGTCGAGGCTGCAGGGAGCTGTAGTCATACCACTGCACTCCAGCCCAGAGAGCAGAGCAAGACCTTTTCTCAAAGAAAAAAAAAAAAAAAACACTTAAGAAGAACTGTTCTGTTTTCTGTAACAGAAATAAAATGAAAAATAGTAATGTTTTTCATAAGCAACCTTTTTGATCTTAAAAATACTCTAAATCATGCAGCTTATTATATGTCTCTCTTTGTGTTGACAAGTAGATTATTTAAAGCCAGATTTGTGTCCCTCTTTAAAAATGTATAGTACTATATAGTAGATATTTTGTCCACTTTATCTTATCTTTCACACTTTTATTTTTCTTGTATTCTATTTTTATTTTTGGTAGTGTTGAACTTTTTCTTGTTATACTTCATATACTTACTCTATCTTGAGTAAATTGGTATGATAAAGACGTCCTCCAGCTACTTCTTGTGTTTTGTAAGCCCAAATCTGTAGAGCTAGCATTGACCCTAACTGAATCTTCAGATTTTGCTCCTGTTTGTGGTCTGCTGCAGAATTTAAATGTCTGGCCAGGCCAGGCACTGTGGCTCATGCCTGTAATCCCAGCACCTTTGGAGGCCAAGGCGGGAGGATCACTTGAGCTCAGAGTTCGAGTTGTGAGACCTCGTCTCTACACAAAATTTAAAAGTTAGCCATTGAGGTGGCTCATGCCTGTGGTCCCAGCTACTCAGGAGGCTGAGGTGGGAAGATCTTCTTGAGCCTGGGAGGTCAAGGCTGTAGTGAGCTGTGATTGTGCCACTGCACTCCAGCCTGGGCAACAGAGCGAGACCCTGTCTCAGTAAATAAATAAATAAATAATTAAATTTATTTTTAAAAATGTTCCGGCCATCCACCCTGTATGATTCAGACTTTGCATGTATTCTGTTCCACCAAATTTTAGATTGAACCTAGCTTTCATCAGCTGGATTTGTTTTATTGGTCGGCCTCCTGATTGTGTTGTCAGCTCAAGAGGTTCCAGTAAACACAGCACACTGCTGCACTGGCCTGGGCAGACCATTGGCAAGAGCATAGACCCTTGTGTGGTGGCTTCTGCACTGTAAGTTCTCAGCAGACACTTACAAAATGAAGACGTGTACCTAGGGAAAGCCGCCGCTGCTTATGTTTGAAACCTTAATGGAAGTTTTTCCCAATGGTTATGTTTTTATTTAGGAATAAGAATTCTAAATTCAACATATTGAAACATAATGATAATGGATGTTAAAATCATTTCTCTTTCAGTAACAGTGTTCTTCTCCATAATGCTTTATTTTACCATTTACACAGTGCTTTCATCTGTGACTGACTTGGCAGATTCCTGGAACATCAAGTCTAGAAAATGTATTTGGGATGAATGGCTAAGTGCATGATGAATAAATGAATGAGTGGGTGCATTTCATTGAATTCTTACAATTGCACTAAGAGCTGGATGGGATAGTAGTATTTCTCACATTACAGGTGAAAAAACAGGTGAAAAAAATCATGATGTCTGACAGAATCAGGACTTAAATTTGTTGTTATAACTTCTCATATTCTGCTCTTTACATAGTATAATATCTAATACAATTTCTTCTATATAATATATATACATAAAATATCATTCTTTCATGGCACCATGGAGTCATCTGACCCATACCACTGCTTCTTTTTAGGCAAAGTCTTGTTACTTTTTCCTTGGAAACATTTCTCCCTGTTCTCTCTTTGTTTCTATTCCGTTGACACCAACCCAGTCCCGGCCCTCATAACTACAGCTTGTTGGGTTATGCTATCAGCAGCTTCTTGAAATGTACCTTAAAGACATCCGTAGGGATTCTAGTCATGTACACTGATGCTAAGGAAGACAACTCTAATTAATTATATGAAACCTGAATAATAAATCTTTCATGAATTTTAAGCTGTTAGTTTCTCTTTTTCTAACACAATGACAACTGTATGTGCCATTCCCTCAAAAGCTGATTTCAGTCTGAGATTTATACAATCATAATTTTTCATGAACACCAAAGCAATAAACCAAGAAGGATTCCTGCAGTTTCTGATAGGGGGGAAACTCTATTCTTGAAGTTCCCCCATATCAGAAACTGCAAGGAAGTAGCGTATTTTCATATATGTAGGTGTTATCTCTATCCCTCATTACAAGAATGTGAAATTATTCGTTGTTAAATCATATGATACGGAATATTAGGGATCATTAGAAACATGTAATATTACTGATGTTATATGCTATGAGAGGAGTTATTTTTATCATTGTACCCTGTAAAGAGGTTTGATAATATATATTAAAACAATTACATATTATGTATTCATTTCATGCAACCTGAATTACAATGTTAAACTGTGCTATTTGGCTTAACAATCACTGCTGGAGTTCACATCATAGATGGAAGCTAGTCCTTGTGTTTCCTATTCTTTTTTAATATGTGCATTTATATTAATAGCATGATTTAATACATCACTTTAAAATTATACTGCATTTTGAACTGCATTTAGTCCAAAATTGACATGTCATGTGTGTGGAACCATAATCAGTTTAGCATTAAATTAAAGAGTCATCTATCTGTTTGGTAAAATGTAGTCTTCGTAAATTCTAGCATGTCCAAAGCTAGGTAATGAGATGGAAAAGTAGGTCTCAGATGTTACATTAATTTGTGAATTTTAACTTACGACTTATTAGCTATACGGAATTTTCTAGCAGTTACAACACAGCATAGTGTTTATCTTTTGAAGTTGCCAGACTCTTTATGATTCTGGTTTAAAACAAAAATATTTGTATCACTGACATAGTGGCATGAGCCTGTCTGGTCACCTATGACTTACTTCAGATTGTAGTTACACTGCATACTGTGAAATTGGAAAATCTGTTCTGTGTGTGTTCTAATGGATGTGACGGTCATTAAGTATATGAGTCTTCTGACGTTGTAATCAGATGTGATTCAGTCTGTTAAGTACCCATGAAACAACATCTGCTTCACAGAGTGACCTTCTGCTAAAGAATACTTAGCATCTATTAGTAGATCATAGTGCAGATCTGCCTTATTTGAAATGCCCTAAACTAGAGTAGTCTACTGCTGTGTAGCAACTAGCTTGTAATAATTTATTGCAGTTAAATAAAGCTTAAAAAAACTCCATTAAATAATTATAGGGATTATATGCATTGCGAAAACCTTTGTGTTCTACTGAAATTACCCATTTAATTTCAGGGTTGGTTTGTTAAAAAAAAGCTGAAATCTAAAGGCACATTAGGGGAGCTGTCAGATGCTGTTTTCTGTAGGTGTTAATAAAACCAGATGAAAAAAAATCTGAAACAAATTAAAACCAAAAGCAATTTTGCCATCTGTTGTATATTAATTAGAACTTCGTGTATCAAGGGTAAACTTGCTTTTAGAGAATGTCACTGAACACCCGCTTAATAGAATAATATGCAAATTTATTAGGTTATGGATTTATATGCAGTTTTTAATTCTAATTCATCTGCAGTGGATCCCCAAGAAACTGGTAGTGTGTATATACATACATGTATATAATGAGTTCTCTTTCTTTTGTTTTTCAGAGCAACCTGCAAGCAATCAAGGCCAGTCTACCCTGCAGCCCTTGCCGCCTTCCCATAAGCAGCACTCTGCACAGCATCATCCGTCCATCACTTCTCTCAACAGAAACTCCCTGACCAATAGAAGGAACCAGAGTCCGGCCCCGCCGGCTGCTTTGCCCGCCGAGCTGCAAACCACACCCGAGTCCGTCCAGCTGCAGGACAGCTGGGTCCTTGGCAGTAATGTACCACTGGAAAGCAGGTAACGTCTGACATTTAAAAATAAGCTAGCCCAACCCATTTCTCACCAACAGAAATTGACTATACTTCTGTATTCTGGTGTGGTGTTTTGGGGTTTTGTTGTTGTTGTTGTTGTTGTGTTTTCTTTTTTCTTCTCTAAGAAGCGGTTCCAGATTGTTGTGATTTTTTTTTAGTTGCTGGGTCGGTGAACGTGCCCATTCTTTTCACACATTTTGTTCCCTACAAGAGATAAGAATAAATTACTTCAGTGAAACTTTCCCTTACCACTGTTTGTTTTTTTCTTATCTACAAATTACCAGGCGTGTGGAGAAAAGGACAGAGATGTAAAATGCTCTTCTCAGTTGCATGTAGCTTGATTTAGTAGACATGTCTAGCATCTTCTCCGTTCTAGACTTCTGTACTTTCTCAGACTATATTTTGTTCATTACATCATATAATCATAGTGGAGCCCCAAGTATAACTTAAGCACAAGTCCGATGACAATTTGTTAAGGATATTATAGTTTCTTGCATGATGAGGGAGATAGGACCTACTCTCTAAAGTTCCTTGCAGGATTATTTCCTAAGACAATCCATTCATCCTTACACAGTTCTATTAGGAAATTTTTCCCCACAATGAACTGAAATCTCCATCCCTGAAACTTCCATCCTCTGACTGTAATTGTGCAACTAGTAGTCTGCACAATTTGCAACTATACAAAACAGTTTTGCCCTCCTTCATAGATGATGGCCCATGGGCGGCTCAGTCTTCTAGAAGCTTCAGCAGTTTAATGGTCCTCCTCTGTACACATAGCATAATGTTTCATTGAGGTTCAAAGTTATGACTTCTCGCAAAGGCTGGCTGACAGGTGGTGATCTGCTCATACAAAAGTATAGATCAGCCAAAGCTGTTTTGAGCTCATCCATTTCGTTATTCAGGATCTCCTGGCATGTAACATTTGGCCTTCTTTCTTTGCACAGGAGCTTAACCGTCACTGTCTCCTTTGTAATTATGTATTGCACAACCAAGAGTGGTGTCTTACCTTATTGGTCTTCTGGTGGCAGCTTTGCAGTGAGGTTTCCCTAACATTCTTCTTATTCTTTATTTCTTCTCTGCCCCAGAGTTTCCGTTAGGCTTGGAGAAAAAGAGTTATCACCACAGAAAAGCCAGAAAATAGAGAGCTTTTGACCCTTTGAGAGACTGTCCCCCAAAATGCCCTGCCCTAGAGCTTATAGTTAACATTAGGATTTAAATTAGCTTCTGGGTGAAGAAACTGTCTCACAATGAATATGTTGCTATTTCTCACCATTAGGTGTATGGTCTCAACCCCTTCTGCCTTGAGGATGAACTAGCAGGAGGCCCTCACAGTTAGTTGTCAACAAAAAAGTCTTCATATGTTTTCTTTTACTCTTGACCTAAGAACAAGGTTCTAAAGAACTCTTATCTTTTTATCTGTAATCAGCCATGAGTAGTTGAGTTTTATTGTTTATTTTGTATTATTGAACATTCTTCTGGGAGACATTCGGAAGAGAAAGAACAGGAAAAGCAGGCAAACAGCAGATTTCTCTTCACTTAAGACACAGAGTCATGTATACAGATTTTTTTTTTCCTGAGGTTATTAGCACAGACCTAAATTTACCCAGTGTAATTAATTAGCACACACAGAAGAACTAATCAACACTGATTGACTATTGTCATTTGGAAAAATTTTATTAGGAAAAAAGTAATTTTCCAGTTGAGTCATCAAATTGAATATGGATAATTGCATTGTAGTTGACAATAATTGTTTTGACAAATATTTATGAAATATGTCAAGTTAAATCCTCAGAAACGTGTTTAATTTTACTGATGTTATAAAACACAAAAGCCTCGAAAACTGTCAGTAGGAGAGTTAGCATTCCATGAAACCATGTCTTACAGTTAATTTGGAATAAGTTTGAGAAGAGTAAGATGTGTTCTCATTATTCGTCTTATTGCACTGGAAATTTTGACTGATGGGACTTTAAAGAAAGAAAGTAGTTGGTTAGAAGAAAATCCACTGTAGCCATATGTGAAATTGTAGCTGGTTTCTCTATATTCAGACCATATAAGAAATCATTCCCATGGTGAGTACTTACTGAGATTTTCTTCCATTTCAAAGTAATGCCATTAATGAATCATCAATGGAATTAATATTATATAGTTTTATAAGTTGACACAGGGAGGAAATCAACCAGCTGATATGATGTCACTAATAAATATACAGAATAATTAATCTAAAAAATGTGTTGTTATGCTAACAAATTTTAATCTGCAGTATAGTTTTGTTGTTTTCTCGTTATCCAAAGCTCACATCTTATAGTGTTGCTAATCAAAAGCAATGATATTTCAACTTGCAGTACTCAGTGAGTCAACCTAAGCAGTGATGTGAAAATCCCACACGGTGCTGACACAGTACTACTGTGGGTTCTTTAATAGTCTCACTTGGTTGGAACTCTGGAGGTGAAGAACTAGCCTTACTTATCATTGATTTTTCCTTTTTTAGTTAAGGTTCCCTATTGAGTAGGATTCTCAGACTCAGTTTCAGTTATATTAACAACTTTATCCAGACTTGTGTCTGCCTTTAACTGTTTTTTAATCTAGTGTATTGTTTTATCTTTGACAATGATTTCAATTTATATATATATACACCGATTTTGCTAATTCTCACTTTTTCTGAAACTGCCACTTAAAGGTTATAAACTATGAAGTATAAAACTCAGTTACGCATAAATAAAAATCTCTATATTTTTCTCTTAGTTCCCCCCACCCTTTTCTCTTTTCAGCACAAATTGATAGTAATTGGTTACAAAGTGGCATGTAATAACCCTTGAAAATCTCAGTGATTTGTAGACTTAGAGTTTATGTGAATTGCTGGAAAAGACATAAAAGGATTTTCTACTTTGTCCTATATGTTTCAGTATAGCTATCATTTTGATTTATTCAAAAGCATTTTTTTCACCAGGCAGTTTCTTGCTTCCATAAAAATGTTTATTTCCTTTCTCTAATGAATTTAATATTTGCTCCTGCTGGAGACAATCAATATGATTGTATACTGTGCATTCCCACTCAGTGAACGGAATACTTCTGGTCTGTAATCTCCAGTGACTCTCAGATCTCCTAGAATCACGCTGAGATCCAAAAAAGCCTTTGCAGTTCATAAGCATCTCCTTATTATGTCATCATTTCCTATTAACAATCCGTCCCTATGTATAATACCAAGTACTTGCTTACAATTTTCCTGAAAATTCCTTTTCTTTGAGCTCACTATTTGTTATACTTTGGATCATTCACTTTTAGGGCATTGGAGAGCCTATAGCTTGCCATTGGTTTATTTTATACTTAAGCTGCTTCGGTATGTAATAACAGCTGCTACAAGAATACGGAGCAGCTGAGGAAAAGCTTAGAATTGGCCCAGTACAGCAGCAGCACTTAAAGGTATAGTACAGTAACTCTCACTGAAAAGCCCTGCCCTTCAGCAACTGTAAAGTTAATTGCCTTCAAGTTCCTCATTTATATACGTGAATTAAATAGCTTAGTAGTTACCTATTAGATGTTAACAAAACGGTTCATTTGTAGCTGTTTAATAAAAGATTTATTAAAGTCTTGTTTTATTATGAAGCCTACTTTGGCATGGATAGTTCATTAGTTATGTTCCCATAGCTTTTTACCTTCTAGTTCAGTAATGCTTTGCTAATTATTAATGTATGAAATTGCATATTAAATTGCCTCTTTATTAGTGCATTTTTTATTTCAATATTGAGTTGTCTTGAGCCACATTAATGTGAGATCAATTGTTTACATCGTTAAAAACATAGAATACCTAAACAGAGATATTGTTTACTAAACCAAGATATTATACTTTTTCCACTTTTTATCTTCTTTAAAATGGTTGTAGGGAAAGTGAAAACAATCATACACACGCCGGGTCTGAGTCGGCCTTGCTGACTTGTGTCTGCATCCTATGCATGGTAGCTTTCCTGCCCCAGAGGAAGCCTTTCCCAGCTGAAGAATTGTACCTGCACCCACTTACTGATAACGGACTACCATTAGTGAGGTAGTAAGTAGTGGAATCCTCCATAATTAAAGATACAACTTCAAGTAAAATATGCCTGGGAAGGTAGCTCAGTGACTAAGGTTGACTGACTGATGCTGATGCCATATGCTTTTGTTAAAGATAGCTTGGGGAGACACAAGGGTACCTGTGGGGAAAGGGAATATTACTGAATATGGAAAAGAGGTCCAAAAATGAAGAACCTAAGGTTACTGAACAAAAATTTCAAAATTGGACCTGGGCCTATGCTAGGAAATTCTTCAAGTTTCACCATCATCATTTATTAGAAAAAAAAAAAAAAAAAGGGAAAGTTAACTTAAATTGTATACTAATGAATAGTAAAAAATCACTTGGATTCTAAGTCTCTTAAAATATGGCATCTTGTATAACTTAACAGTATTTCTTAAAAGGACTGGGAAGGGATATTGTTTATTTGTGAGAATAGGAAGAAACATGAAGAGGGAGATACAGTGTACAAGAATTTGCTGTGTGCTGTTAATATTTAAGGCCTATTTCAAGCCCTAACTAAAAAAAACCTTTGTCGCAGAGAGAGGAGGATAGTTGAGGAAGCTATTGTAAGCTTAATTCAGTAATTCAGTGCCTAAGCTCTGTGGTGACCATATAATTCATTATTAAAGCCAGGACACTGGCACAGTGAGAAGGGGCCATATCAACAGTTACCCTGGAATTGCAGCATAAACTGAGAAGGACATGTGATTACCATACTAAGTTTTATTTCCAAGAGTAAAGTTAATTTTAAGTCCAAATTTTCTTATGCCTTAGATAAAAATAAGAAATCAAACGAGAAAACCAGGTTGAATGCAGGTAAGGCTTCAGACTTGAACATTTCTAGTAGTTTCTATTGCTAACTTAGAGCAAATATTTAAACTTTTATTGACCCCTTTCACAGAAAAAGCTTCTATTGGCCTCCAAAATATGTAGCTCCTAAA